TTAGTTTCGCATATCATATGTTTTGGATGTGAATTTTTCATTTTCTGAAACACACCTTTTCAAGGTGCCAGTGCTATGCACAACCAAGCCTGCCCAGCCCAAATTTTTTCCAAAAAAAAAAAAACATACATGTGTTATAAGCCGATCCCAAAAATATTTTTAAAAAAAATTAAAAGCAAACCCTAAACATATGTTGCCCATCCAGGTGGTCCCATATCTTCTCTCCTTCTCTTTTGACTATTAGACTTTTGGTTTCTCTCTCTCTCTCTCTTTGCTACCCGACAATAGCAAGTTTCTCCCTCTCTTTTTTTGGGGTCAAATTCTCCTTCTATTGGCTACATCTTCTATTATCTTGGGTGAGCAATTTGGCAACAACATCTTCTTCTCTCCTTTTGTCAACAACAAATATTATTCTCATTCTCTCCTTTGCTATATATCTTTAATTATAGTTTTAATTTAAAATTGAGTATTCGAGTTTAATTAGGGATGAATTATAATTTTGGGATTTTGTTGAAATTAATTAGGTCTTGATTAGGGATGAATTATTCTAACCCTTTGATTTGAGATTTTGTTAAAATTGAGTATTCTAAGGTTTAATTATGGATGAATTATAATTTTTGGTTTGGTATTGTTGAGATGGTATTATGAGAACTTGTTTGAATTTTTGTTAGTATGTTTGATTAAAATTATTTCTACATATTATTCATATGCTATCTTTTATTATGTCGGATCACAATTGGAATCCCATTAAGAAAAAGAATGATGGGTCATCATTTAGTACATTGCCTTATAGCACTTCTTTATCTACTCCAATATGTGATGAGAAAAATCTTCCAAAGTCTCCCATTATCGAGCCTCCAGTTGAAAGAGTTGAATATCAAAGAGTCAATGATGATCATGATTTTAATATCAATTATTTTGAGTGTGATATAGGATTACATCGTCTAATATGCAAATATCCAATGAATAAACAAGATAATGTGCGAAATAAGGCTCATTATGTCTCCCATGACTAGGTGTATCTTTTCATGTTTATTAATGAAATTCACTCGTACCTTCAAATTTAGTATGTTAATTTTGCCCAATCAGCTTTTGAATCCTGAAATTGCCATCTATAGAGGTTTAAACTTGATATCACAAATTTCCAGGTCAATGCCTTCTTCATTGGGATTGACTGTTTCAGGATGTGATTGACTGCTGTAACGACAAATGGCTCCTCAAGTTGCCAAGTAGCGTCGTAGTCAAAAACAATAAATGGTACACACAGTAAGCTCCAGCACACCATCAACACCCGATAATTGCTCTCTCACTGATCTTATCACCAGGTACTCTTATATGTGGTACTAGCTATTATGCTTGTCAACCAACCCAACAAGTACCAGACATCGAGAGAGCCACCGAGCCATCGAACCATCGAGAGAGCCATTTGAAATGGGAATTGTAGAAGAAGCTCACAACGTGCGGGTCCTGGGCTCAGGCCAGCAGGTCATAGTCCTAGCCCACGGCTTCGGCACCGACCAGTCGGTCTGGAAGCACCTCGTCCCCCACCTCATCGACGACTACAGAGTCATCATGTACGACAACATGGGCGCCGGAACAACAAACCCCGAATACTTCGACTTCGAACGCTACGCCACCCTCGAGGGCTACGCCTACGACCTCCTCGCCATTCTCGAGGAACTTCGGGTCGGGTCTTGCATCTTCGTCGGCCACTCTGTCTCCGGCATGGTCGGCGCCATCGCCGCCATCACCCGCCCCGACCTCTTCACGAAGCTCGTCATGATCGGCGCCTCCCCTAGGTAAGATCCGCAACCATTAATTTTGTTGCGGGAAACACTGTTCTGCTGGGTAGCGTTGGGCGAAGTGGATCCATCAATCTAATTAATTAAATAATTAAGTCAATTATTAGATAATTAACCTACAGGTCCACAAAACCCAATTTCTTAATCGAAAGATGCATGACGATTTGCTGGGAGTGGATCCATCAATCTGATTAACAAATTAACCTAAAACCCCACAAACCCAATTACTTAAACCTTTGGATTAATATATTACTTAAAATGATCTTCCTCAATCATTTTTATTTTATTTTATTCCACTTCCAAAAAGCCAATTAACCAATTTATTAATCAAAACCAAACAATCTTTCATTCAGGTATCTCAACGACGTGGACTACTACGGCGGGTTCGAGCAGGAAGATCTGGAGCAGCTGTTCGATGCGATCCGATCCAACTACAAGGCGTGGTGCTCTGGTTTCGCACCCATGGCGGTCGGCGGGGACTTGGACTCGGTGGCGGTCCAGGAGTTCAGCCGGACCCTCTTCAACATGCGCCCCGACATTGCCCTCAGCGTCGCCCAAACCATCTTCCAGAGCGACACGAGACAAATTCTCCATCTGATCACAGTGCCCTGCCACATTTTGCAGAGCGTAAAAGACCTCGCTGTCCCTGTCGTCGTCACAGAGCATCTGCACCAGAATCTGGGCGGCGAGTCAATCGTGGAGGTCATGTCATCGGACGGTCATCTTCCGCAGCTGAGCTCGCCGGATATTGTTATACCGGTGATGCTCCGGCACATTAGATACGATATTGCGGCGTAATTGTAGTAAAAAATAATTATGATAATAATAATGTAGGTGGTGGGGGTGATTAGTTTTTTTTTTGGTTTGTTTTTGTTGATGTTGTTTTTGGTGGTGGGTGTGGCTAGATTGGGGGCCATTTGTTAGCTTTGGGACGATAGGTTTTTGTTGAGGTAAATGCTAGCCTTATAATATTTTTATACTATATCACCTCTTTAATAGAGATGGAGCTCACCAATACAATTGGGTCATCTTTATTAGAGAGACAGTACATAATGTGATATAAAAATGTGGTAAGTTTAGTATTTTCCTTTTTATTGTGTGGTCTTTGTTGGTTGTCGTGTTCAAAAGTCGTGGATGGTGTGTGATGCTGTTGATCACATGGACCACGTCATGTGAAGGAAAGGGAGTTATTGTGACACGTCGCGCTTTTCTAGTATGAAAGCTTGGATTCAAGTTGTTTATATCAATTATAATCAAGCTTTTATTATTGTCCACAAAACCCAATTTCTTAATCGAAAGATGCATGACGATTTGCTGGGAGTGGATCCATCAATCTGATTAACAAATTAACCTAAAACCCCACAAACCCAATTACTTAAACCTTTGGATTAATATATTACTTAAAATGATCTTCCTCAATCATTTTTATTTTATTTTATTCCACTTCCAAAAAGCCAATTAACCAATTTATTAATCAAAACCAAACAATCTTTCATTCAGGTATCTCAACGACGTGGACTACTACGGCGGGTTCGAGCAGGAAGATCTGGAGCAGCTGTTCGATGCGATCCGATCCAACTACAAGGCGTGGTGCTCTGGTTTCGCACCCATGGCGGTCGGCGGGGACTTGGACTCGGTGGCGGTCCAGGAGTTCAGCCGGACCCTCTTCAACATGCGCCCAGACATTGCCCTAAGCGTCGCCCAAACCATCTTCCAGAGCGACACGAGACAAATTCTCCATCTGATCACAGTGCCCTGCCACATTTTGCAGAGCGTAAAAGACCTCGCTGTCCCTGTCGTCGTCACAGAGCATCTGCACCAGAATCTGGGCGGCGAGTCAATCGTGGAGGTCATGTCATCGGACGGTCATCTTCCGCAGCTGAGCTCGCCGGATATTGTTATACCGGTGATACTCCGGCACATTAGATACGATATTGCGGCGTAATTGTAGTAAAAAATAATTATGATAATAATAATGTAGGTGGTGGGGGTGATTAGTTTTTTTTTTGGTTTGTTTTTGTTGATGTTGTTTTTGGTGGTGGGTGTGGCTAGATTGGGGGCCATTTGTTAGCTTTGGGACGATAGGTTTTTGTTGAGGTAAATGCTAGCCTTATAATATTTTTATACTATATCACCTCTTTAATAGAGATGGAGCTCACCAATACAATTGGGTCATCTTTATTAGAGAGACAGTACATAATGTGATATAAAAATGTGGTAAGTTTAGTATTTTCCTTTTTATTGTGTGGTCTTTGTTGGTTGTCGTGTTCAAAAGTCGTGGATGGTGTGTGATGCTGTTGATCACATGGACCACGTCATGTGAAGGAAAGGGAGTTATTGTGACACGTCGCGCTTTTCTAGTATGAAAGCTTGGATTCAAGTTGTTTATATCAATTATAATCAAGCTTTTATTATTTAGAAATGCTGCAAGACATGGAAAATTTCTTAAAATCAGTCCACTCGATCTTGTGCGAAGATTTTCATGGTGTGAACATGCGTATCGTAACAATCATCGTTACTTTAAATACGATCAAACTTTGCAAATCATGGTGTGAATGTGTGTATTGTTTCCGTTCCTTCAAATACGTTAAAACTTGCAAATTCGGACTCTGTGTCCACTTCTTGCATTCGACTTCTTGCATTCGAGTTCGAGAGTTCGATTCAAAACATATATTGATAATGGCAGGCTAGCCCGTCATGAAATCCTAAAAAATCACAGCAATAAACAAAATTCAGCCCAAAAATCACAACATTAGTATGCAAATTCCAGCGTAAAGAAGAGTACTAGATAGAGTTGTGTTACCATTTGGAATTTGGAAAAGTGATCAATTGCTTAACAAGAAGCTGCATACACAATAGTTATCAAACGCAGTGACGTTGCAACTGTTTTTATAAAAGAAAACAACCTTTTTTGTGTTTTTTTCTTCTTTCTAAAACAGGGAGAAAAGTGTTGTTTCATTTTATTTTGGGCTAGACTAGAGGGTTGGGCTGGGCATTTATATATATATATATTTTAATTCTTCCTCTGGTCTGTCTGGACCGTTGTTTTGGAGTGTAACATGCAACTCAGTTACATTGAATTATAAGAAGTTCAAGCTTATTATTGAGAACATACATGCCTACGTGTTTACTTATGCTTTCATTGCTATTTAGTATATTTAGTTGGAATTGAATTCGAACGGGCCGGGCTCGTGGGTATATGCCCGACCCCCCGGCTCGGGCCAATCTAAGTCTGTTGCGACTCGACTCGATGTGCCATCTTTAACTGAGCCCGATTCATACTTGCGTACTGTACTTAGCCCGATTGAGGCCGGTCCAGCCCGTTGTACACCAAGTTACTTTGACAAAATGTCAAATAAAGTACTAAAGCTCAACCAACCAATCATGTCAAATCGTGGAACACGTGTGACCCGCACGTATGAACACATACAAGACATCCATTGACTCACAGCCATTCCTCTCCTCGCTGCCCCCTTCTCAGTTTTCAACTTTACCTTTTTTCCCCTATTCCCCCCCGTGAACTATCCCTCTTTAATCCCCACCACTTTCCTCTTGCTAGAGCCGTTGAAGCAAAGAAAGGAACAAACACGAACACAGACCGCGCCTTCCCGATCCATCCGACTCAACTCGCTCCGGTAACTCAGAATGGCCGCAGCTGTCTCCGAGAGAGCGGAGCTCGCCAAGCTCTGCAGCTCACGCAACTGGTCCAAGGCCATCCGAGTCCTCGACTTGCTCCTCTCCCAGTCTTCTTCTATCCAAGACATCTGGTCCGTACACTCTCTATCTCACTCGCGCAATATCTCATTCAATTCCCGCTGATCTTCAATTTCTTAATCGAATTCGATTCTGATCGATTTTATGGCTCTCAATGTTGGTGTTGCAGCAACAGAGCCTTCTGTTACAGCCAATTGGAGCTACACAAGCACGTGATTAAGGACTGCGATAGGGCGCTTCAGCTTGACCCCGCGCTTCTTCAGGCTTACATCCTCAAAGGTTTTTCTTCGATCATTTTATCGAATTTGAACTATTATTTGACTTGGAAGAATTTATTTCGTTTTTCTTGGATATTTTGGATCATTTGAGTAGTTAGGTGATAATGATAGCTCAATTATGAAAATGTTAAGCTCCTCGTAATTAGCTGATAATGAAACGTGATGCGCAGTTAATTAGACATTTCGGACAGATTTTATGTAGTCTTAATTTTTATTTTAGGTGTACGGCAAATGTGAATAAGTGACTGGTAGTCGAGGCTGAGTGATAATCCCATAGAATTCGTGAGCAAGATATTAGAGAAGAGGTTCATTGTTTAGATGAGTTGCAGTGTGGTTTGTATCGGCCCTTGTATATTGGAGATTTTTTTTTCCGTAATCTAAAAGTTACTTATCAATTATTTAATGAACGTTCTGTGGAAAACTTTTAAAGGGGATGTACACTTATTGAGGAATTTGATAATATATTTACATTTTTTTTTTGGGGATGGAATAGTATATCTTCTTTGCTATGAGGAAGTAATAAATACTGAAATGGCACAGTACTGATTGAGCTAAAAATTCATTTTGTTGAAATCATATTGCTCTTTCGGATATATGCACAATTGTGCACTCTCAGGGAGCACTTATTTGACACTTTCTATGATTCGATGTCTTAAATTTTTTAAATACTTGTATACAATGAATCATTACATGAAGTACTGTTGGAGCTCCGCCATTCTTGTGATCTTAGACTTGATCTTTGTCCTCTAGGTTGTGCATTATCTGCTTTGGGAAGGAAAGAGGATGCTCTTTTGGTTTTGGAGCAAGGCTATGAACATGCCTTGCGTCAGTCTGCAGATCTGA